GGAGTGAGTGGTGGGGCTTGGTTGCTGGCTGGGGCTAAACCACGACCAGAACCCATAACAAAACAGCAGCACTAGGTTGCCTGGCTGGTAGGCTTCACCTGCTAGACTTCTGATGTTACTTCCTATCTTGGTCTAAAATGTTGCTCTGAACTGCTTCTTGCCCTTAGTATATCATGATCTCCTCTACCAGTCCTGCCCCTTATCAACATACTTCCATATTCTTCTTTCAGTTCTGGATCACTAGACCAGAACCCATAACAAAACAGCAGCACTAGGTTGCCTGGCTGGTAGGCTTCACCTGCTAGACTTCTGATGTTACTTCCTATCTTGGTCTAAAATGTTGCTCTGAACTGCTTCTTGCCCTTAGTATATCATGATCTCCTCTACCAGTCCTGCCCCTTATCAACATACTTCCATATTCTTCTTTCAGTTCTGGATCACTAGAGTCAAAATGACAATTACCCTAGACTTCGTCCTGTCACCTTATGACACAACCCTTCAGTGACAGATCTAGATAAAAAGCATATACAAACCTCACACTAATTTTCTTTATGGCACTTAAGAATAGTAATAAAAAGGCTAGTCAGAATGGAAAACAGTTCTGTTCTAGCTCGTGTGTTGTCTAATCATACCTTCTCCCAAGCCACTCAGCTGCACTTCACCAAAATATATCCTGAGGGAAAAGGAAAAAGAAAAGCTATTAGGTGAATTGAGGACATAATGCCATACATATCCTTATTCCTTATTTAATTTTATGAGTTGAAAGGCTAGAACTATTTTTCTTCAGGAAAAAAACCCAAAAGAAATGGCTAGAATTTGCATCTCAAAAAGCCTTCCAGCTGCTTCAGAGGAAGACATGTCATGTAAAATAAGGAAGAGAAAATGGTAGTTTAATCAGAAACTTCTCTTTCAGTTTTCATCTGTGGTAAGTCTACAGTTCAGAGCAAAAACGTGAAGTGATATAAACTTCATGGACAGCTCTGAGTCTAAAAGCTGATAGTCATCACACAATATAAAAGATTAACCGTGCAGTAAAGAGTTCTGGTCTTATGTATGTGCCAAATCAACAATAGAGGCAAAAATGAAGAAATGTCTGGGATTTCTTTTTAAGTTCTCAGCTGTGCAAACAATAACAAACCTGAGATATAGAATCATCTAAATTAGCTATGCAAACATGTCAAAGACATGTCAACACGTCACGGCCAAAAAGTCTGGAAGACAATAACCATGAACCACAAGCCAGTCAGACCTCAAAGGCTAAAGACAGTTGAATCCAGTATTTGGATGAGTAAACTGCAAAAAATTCAGGAAGTGGTGCTGAGGACGCATCTTTAAAATGGAGTAGCAGGAGAATATTCTGAATCTATACTGCAGAAGTACACACTGTAGTTATGTGCAACGTAAGACAGGCATTTATCAAATACAGGACAGACAACAACTGGATGCTAATAAGCACTTTAACCAGTGCTTGCATGTAGAAATTTTTTTACTCTTCCCAATACGGTAGGCAAACAACAGCACTTCCCAGCCTGTGCTTAGTTTGTCTTTCAATGGTTCAAATGGAGGCTATAAGGTGACACATCACCCGAAGTTTTCTTCTGTCATCAATCAGTAGTAGTTAAATCCAAATAAATTGAATTTATTATCACTGTGCAAGTCTAGAGTCTCTGCTGTTTGTATTTCAAATAGGAAATTTCTGCTTTACCTGTACAATATTACATATTCATGTCCTTGTTTTCTTGAGAGTCTGTAGGCTGGAGTTACCCTGGTTATAGCAAGCAAAGACTTCAGCAGTAGAGACAGCCTGTTGTATACAGTGTATGAAACTTTGATTTCTTTGTCACACCTATGGAACACATAGAAAATAATGAGTCTTTTGTTCCCAACCAAGTTGCTTGGTTTTGTTTGCTTTGGTGTTTTTTGTTTGTATGTGTTAGTGGTTGGGAGCTGGTTTTTTATTGTAAATAAAAATTAGTCTGGAACAATTCTCTAATGCCAGTTTTATTGCCAAAATGATAAAATAAAGCCCTAGTGTGGCTACCTGTATTTAAATGTATCTGAGAAAGCATACTACTTGTAATGGAAGAATGAATAAGGAGTAAAATTACTTGTTTACTTTCTTAACACCAATGTTAGACAGCTTGACTGCTGCACTACACAGAGAGGGGAGTTCCCCTTGGAAGTGTCCCTGGCCACACAACCAGTATATGCTCATTGATCACCATGGATTGACCACTGTTTCCCCACTTCATCAGCTAAAACCAACAAAAACACACACACACAAAGAACGTGTGAAGAATGCACTTACTTTTCATTCATTTCTAGACACCAAATTTCCAGCTCCATGGAGTCCCCCTGGATCAGAGAAAGGATGGCAAACAAAGGCTCATTTTAGAACACAAATGTTTTCACATCTCTTTAATGATCAGCAACAGTCACAGCTCTCAATGAAGATTTGTCTCCTGGCTCCCACTTTGTTCTAATGCAAGGACAGAAAAAGATGCACTTGAAGTGTCACCGCACAATTACACCACCTGAGGGAATACCTTCCTCAGAATGGCTAAGCTGTTTCTGGTCCAAGAAACTAAATTTTGCTGCTCTATCATTTGTGTGTTTGGCCTCATATGTTTGCAGTGAACTGCTTCTATTAAAAAAAAAACTTTTATTTTCATTAGCATATTACCTAACTTAATAAAATTAAGATAGTTTCACATTGTCTTAGATTAAAGGAGGTCTGGTAGGTGATTTAAGATTCAAGTAAAGAAACTCATCCATTTTGACCCAGTTCTCACCTCTGAGGTTTTGAGAGAAATCTCCACGCACATAGACCGTCCAACAGCAGGTAGCTGTCCTGCCAGGGCTTTCTTTGCTTCATGAGTAACCTCTGGTATATCTTTGATTGCCAAATTGAACTGCAGAATGAAAGATAATTCAGTTTTTTTATTTCTTTGAAAAACTGCCTAACGGTACACAGCAGACAGGCTCATAGACCCATATATAACATACTAGGTCAGTGCCCACTGAAATATTTATGTAACAGAAAATGCTGGGCTTAGGCTTTTCATAAGTTCAAAGATTCCTTGGCGGCTCATTCAAATGTTTTTCTTGATCCTGCTATAAAAAATATGCTCCTTTTCCCTCGCTTGAGTCCTATCTTCACCCACAGAGTATCTTGAGTCTTTTCAATTTTAATAAAGCCCATTACTATAAAGTCCTGAACTTGAGAGTCGCAAACTTCTGACAGAAAAGAACTTACCACCCCACCCCCAGCAGATCTTGGAAACGTGCCTTAGCTGGCAGGAGATGCTGAGATCATTTCTCTCTCCTCTAATCAACCCTTAAGAGCCCAGAGTGATCGACTGCACATGAACAAAAACCAAAGAAACCATGCACACCACTGCTGAACATAACTGAACATAGTAGCTATCCTATGAAGAGTTATTATAGTCTGCACAAGACTGTAACAATCACATTGTGTTATCACCACATGCACACAGTTATGGGATTGCTTTAAAAAACATGACTTTACCCAGTCAGAACCTGTGGGGGAGGATGATGATCGGGTACAGATTTTCTCTCCAAGTCGGGCCTGGACAATTACTTGTACCGTCTGGAATAGGAAGGAAAAGACACACAGATGTTTTGAGCTCAGCACAACCCTCAGTTCAGAACCTGAGCTACATGAGTTCCAAGTAAAGAAAAATTAAAGGGCCAACCAGGATGTAGAGTTTACTACACTAATCTTCAGGTCTAATCAATTTAAATTATTACATTTAACAGGCAAATGCATTTCAGAGAGAAAATAATTTTAGGCTGACCTTTCACTGCAATAACATGAGGTGACTAAGTCAATTTTGCAATCAGGAGTTGCAGCTTTCAATAATACCAAAACAAAATTTATAACTATATCCTGCATCTGGTCACATCAACAAAAGTCAAGTGAATCTGTACATTTATAGCAAAGCCATTCTCAGAGTACCTACTTGCATCTACGTACCAAGCGAGGGCAAATTCTAACATTATGTAACAACATAATTCCAAAGAACATTCTGGCATTATTGCTTTTGGATACAACAAAAATTTAGATAGGCTGAAAAAAAAGAGTGGAGTCCAACACAAGATACCACCTAACAGCTGGATGGTCAGATGTGCTGATAGAAACCCAAAGCTGACAGACGTTTGAAGTGCCTACAACTGATTATAAAGCAGGACACTTCTGGGGGACAGAAGAGGATCTGAAGATAGAAAAAAGGGGAAAAGATGGGTTTATAGTTACTCTCACGAATCTCCTAAATTTGACATGACCTTTTCTTACTTTGGTCTTCAGCAAAACAACAAAAAACCCCAAACCCCAACCCTGTTACTCTAGCCAGAGCACGTACGTTGGGCTGTTTTCTTAAAGAAGAGGCATTTGTGCAAAGGAGAAAAGTTACCTTTAAAGCAAAAAATTTGATGAACTTGTCCAGGTCCTTCCTGTCCTGGGAACTGAGATCAGTGTCCATTGCATATGGCAATCTGAAATATAGCACAGGTGTGGGAATGAAGTCTTCCTTCAGCTTTCTGTTTAAATTTCAAGATTTCAAAATATTTTTGCCATTAGAGGCCACTTCAAAAACAATGACAAGCACCAAAGCCCTATATCTGTCAAAATCCTAACATGTAGTGAACTTTGGGGTGTGACTGTGAGGCACAAACATGTATTAATAGTTTATATGGTCAGATCAAAAAATAAAAGAACCTACAAACGGGGTTCACAATTAAAACTTGCTATAAGTTCACCAATTTTGCTACCTTAATTAAAAAAAAGCAAAAGCAAAACAAACCCCCCAAAACACTCCAACACCACACTGACTGGATTCTACACCTAACTACCCATCAGACATATCAGCCTCTGCTTCAAATAGAATGTCTCTTCAGCTATCAGAACTGGTCAGAACCAAGCCAAATTGTTTTCTTGAGTCTGAAATTCTAAAAACAATATTTCAGTGGTACTTCAGCAGATATTGAAATCCATAAAATAAGCCATTGCTGGGAACAGGCTACACTGCTTCTTTACTTCTAACAAACAGTACTTGCAGTAAAACTGTACAGCTACAAATTTACTTACAACAAGTGAAAAAGACACATTTTTACTCAGGAATAGACTAAAATTCTCTGTTCACTTCTCTTGAAAGTGCTGATAACAAATACTTAGCTTTCACATTCACACTGCCTTGTTTTTCAAAATATGATTGTTTCTAGCAATACAACGAACTTGCACTGCATTTGAAGCAAGGCAGGGCAAGGCACAAATCCAGCTTCTGACACCATCATGTCACATGGCCTGGGATAAATCATGATTCTTCTGTCTCTCAGTTTCTTCACATGTAAGTTAATAATCACATAGAAATCATGGGGAGGAACGCCTCAATTAGCAGCATTAATTGTACTTTTTGCTCATCAGTCTTTGAAGTATTAATTCACTCTTAATTCCTGTTGCTGTTTTGAGACAGCTAATCAGCCTGAAGCAGCTTGTCCAACATCATGTATTTACAGAACATGCTGCTGGCCACAGAAACGTTGGTGATCTGAGGTCAGGGAGCACAAGCAGCTGCTGTGCACGGTGTTCCATCGTTAAGCAAAGACTGAACTTGCAGCAAGGTATGCTATTTATATAAACTACAGCTTAGCAGGATGAAGGGGCTAACAGCCCTGTTCACAGAGAAAATATATAATCTTTAATGACCATGCACATGCAGTAATTCCATTTAAAATATCCTAATGCTTTAGGAGCATCATCCAAGAAGGGCTGCTAGATAAGAGTACTGCAATTTATAGAGCATTTTATAGAGAACAGTGCTGCTTTTGGAATGACTCTATTAAAACAAAAAGAGCTGGACATCTAATATGGTTGAAAGTTCCTAGGCTACATTCATACTGCATATCCTAGTGCTGCACTGTCCTCATTACAAATTATAATTTAAATTGAGAACTGACAACACAAGTGATTCAACGTCAGATGCATTATCAAATTATCCGTTGGATGTTTTAACCTCCTTATCAAAACATACTTTCTTTCCCTGTCTTTACCTCCACTAGATTGAGATTACCAACTTCTACTGTGGGGGAGTACAAAAGGAAGTCAGCACTTAAAGTGCTACATGTTTCATTGATGCAGCACTCTAAATTTTTTACAAAAATAACCCTTTAGTATAGACACTTGCCACTATAAAAAACCCAAACAGGTAAGAATGACCTGTTACTATTCTTTTCTCCTAATTAAGTAAAGCACTGTAAGGGTTGAGGAGATCCGAGATCTACAATAAAATACTGCATTAAAAAAGACCCATCTTCTTTCTTAGCAAAGAGAATGCTGACATTTAAATACTGAGAGAAATCAAACTAGCTTTTAATATGAAAAGTAGTGAGGGGACATTTCTATGTGACCCCTGGTTAAAGAGGCACAAAGTACATATCCTGATGTTGTGGGAGAGCTGTCAGATAAAGCACCCACATTTGCCTTAGGATGCTGGAAAACATACTGGTATTGACTATTGCAAGACACTTGGGAACTAATGAAAGATGTTAGGATCGCTGGTCTGTCAGGAAAAGAAACAAAGATGATCCTCTGCATGATTTCCTCTGCATTACTAGTTCTAATGACCATATGTCCAAATATCTCTAGGTACAGGAACTAGTTCTAATGACCATATGTCCAAATATCTCTAGAGGAGAGAAAAAGACACCAGAGGCATGTCTTAAATTGAGGGTTAGAAGAATGAGAGACATGGTTCTGCCCTGCTGCAGCAGAATTGGGATTCTTCCTGCAAGATCTCAATCTGTAACACTTGGAGACTCATATTGGTACCCTCTCAAGTTCCCAAATGCCAGCAGCAGTTGACACACCAGAGCCTAAAGAAGAGAAGAAACTATCAGGCAAGGTTTCCTGTCAGGAATATGTAATTTCAGAGGGAAACTGGGATTTTGGAACTCAGCTCCTGAAATGTCTAAGGGCTGTCACCTGATGACAACCATCTGCTCATTTTTGTGGAAGGGCCTCTGGTGATTGCCTGAGACCTGCAAAGGCTTAGGGCACTGTTCACCTTAAGAATCATTACTGATATGAGTCAAAATGGAGCCAGAATTATAGCAAATCTTTTATTTACAAAAATGCCTCAGTACTCTCAGGTTAGCTGCCACAGCTGACCTGGACAGGAGGCAAAATTTATAAACTTAGTTCCACTAAACTCATTCAACTTCTCAGGTCCTGTAGGTTGCAATGCCAGCACAGCTCCTTGTTAAGTGCCACTACCCAGCCACAAGCCTAACTCAAGGAAAACACTGCCTAATTTTACGCTGAATAACAACTAGAAGGAAATAATCTTTGGTCTAGGTTAGAAACCTACAGATGACTATTCCCCCTCAACAAAATAATCCCTTAAGTAAACTAATACATCCACAGGTAACAAACAAGCATCTTGTCCACACAGCTTTTTGCTTTGTCTCCCTCTTCCTGCAACATCCACTTTCATATTATTGCTCTTATTTATATGCCTCTGACTTCACTTTGCTCTGAACAGAAAGGTCAGAGATAGAATAAGGCTTCAGTCAAAACAGCCGCGTGTGGCAGCTCTCCTTTGAACATCTTTCTCACAAGGCTGAGGCAGAGTTCATCCAACAGTTTAACATCTAAGCATTGTGCACTCTACTGCTATTTATACTCTCCTTCTCCTAGGAGGACACATCAGCATAAGCTGATGGTGTCATTTGCATGATGCAATGAACTGCAAGATCCCTCCCCTTCATGCCTTGGTACAGCCCACAGAAACTACAGCGACCAGCACACTGTGTTCCAACCCAACACCAGCAGCTGCTCTGCCAGCAGATACCTGTAACCCGGCACACAACAGGTGAACCTGTGAATTCTGGCACTGCAGTGCGTGTTTCATACGTGGGAATCTAGCATGTACGCCTGTCTGACACGTACGTAAACAGGAAAGGAGAAGCACCTGACACATACCAGGCACTATTACTGCTGCTGGGGAAAACATAAACAGGCTGTTTCCACCACCTCCTACATTTCTCTCTGAGCCATGGCTGCTACAACTTACAGTCATCCTGCTTTCTTTTCAAACAGATATTTACCAATGCAAAATAATTATTCATGGTTCACATCCCAGAGTGAAACTAAAAAAGACTAGAGGGAAGAAACCAGAGGGGTGTCACTGTAAGGAGAGGGCTGTGGACAGCTCTCATCCATTTGTTCCTGGTTACCTGACTGTGCCCCCAAAGACCAGACTCCTTGTCCCTACCACTCTTCCAAAACTTCTTTGTTAACACAGGACCCAAATCCAATCTCCAAGGACATCCTATGAGAAGCTCAGAAAAGCCTCGCTGAATCATGCAGGTAAACAAGAAGTATATAGAAGCTTTTGAGTGCCTTTGATAAATAGGCCTGACTGCCAAGGAAGCTTTCCTAGAACACCCTAGACCAAGTAGCTTCACAGGTGTTTTGAGCAGATTAATAAGCAATTGTAAAAAGATCACTGTACAGACAGTGCTCTGCTTCAAGACTGGGACTACAAGCCAAAGTCCAGCATCCTACAATTACTTAAAATTAACCTCCATTTTGCCTTCTTAGTAGGTTAGTCAGAAACCTGGGGAGAGGGAAGGAACAGTTCTAAATGTTAAGGTGTGACACTCATTCTTTAAGGTGCATGGATTTTTTTAAGAGAAGATTAGAGTAGATTCTAGCAGAAAAACTGTTTCACATAATATAAACATACCAAGGAAACCAAAGGCTCCATAGTTGCCTAAGCTCTGACTGATAAAGGTTATGTTTCCTCCTGATCAGGAAATAGATTTACTTTATAACAGATAAATTACTCTGCAGCTTTACTAGAGCCAGCACTGCCAGCCCCACTGACTTAGAAACAAAATTGAGTAATCCCTGTTGATCAGCAGTTACATTCTGTAGTTCTCTGAGGTCTAAAAATGGTACCAGTTCAAAGGTCCATCCTCTCACTTTGTTTGTCAAGCTAAAGTGTACAGACTAAACCAGAACCTGCTTCTACATAGCAAACAGAATAACCACCTCTCAACTTTTGTACAAACACTGTTCAGAAAAGTTATTACACAATACCATGTAAGCAACATAAAGCGATCCTGTACAATCCTTCCCGACATCTAAATACAGCCTAGCTCAACTGAATGACTTATTTCTTGCCACAAGAAGGAGGGGCCCACCAGGTCAGACCACTCCTGCAATAATTTGAAGATGCTCTAAACTTCACTTGCTGACTAATTTTCAGCTAAGGCAGTAATTTACCATATTTCTCCCCCTTGCTATGTGCCTAGTCATACTGCTTTTCAGATTTGTAAGTAGGCAGTTTGTAGGCTCAGTCCAAAGCATCCCTTTTCCTGCCTGTTCACTGGCATGGAAGGTGTCCCTGCTCCCACTAAATCCATGGGAATGACTCTGGTGATGCCCTAAGAGCCACAGCTCCAACAGGATAGAAAGATA